GATGGATGGATGGATGGATGGATGGATGGATGGATGGATGGATGGATAGATGGATGGATGGATGGATGGATGGAAAGAAAATGGGTTCAGTTTAGTACAATCCTTTACATGTTACATGAACCTTTAATTTATAAATACGTAAATAATGCAAACCTTTTACCTTTTACCTTTTACCTATGTGCTTTTCAAAGCCAGGTCTCTATATCAGTGGTATCCTGTGACCCCACCACCACCAAAAATATAGCCCTTAAATGGGAGACCCAGAGTACCTAACTCGCACAAAAAAAAAACAAAAAAAAAAACTTTTCTGTGGTGTCAAATTTTGATACACAGAACACTGTGAAATATCTGTCCCTGTTTTTAAATCTGTTGTCAATCTGCCATTTCTTTGTCCAGTTCAACTAATCATGGTATTCTGAAAGCGCTCACACAGCTCCTCTCCTGAGCCTGGCTTCAGATGCTGCACATCAAGACACCACAGCATGTTCAGGTTGTATAACATCCCTGCTTATTGCAGGTTCAGATTTTGCCTTAGTACAAAATCTGACCTCAAAGTTTGTTTTGTCTGCCACAATAACTCTACCAAGAGGGAGGTCTTCCGTTTTTTGCCAAGTGCTATTCAGGATGTAGCTCTCCTTTGCTTGTAGCACACCAAGAGAGCTACCGACACTTTAGTAACCYCGGGCTTTGTGATGGAGCATCCCGCCCTTGCAGGTGGACATTCTCATTGTTCGGCTGCCTTATCTCTTCAGGGCCATTGCTCCTGAAGATCACTGGGACTGACAGAGCAGAAGCATAGGCAACCCTTTAGAAGATTCTGAACCAGGCAAAACCCTGAGGGGAGTTTTGGCAGAGCAGGCAGAGAAAAACCGGAGGCGCAAGCACTGAAGAATCTCTGGAGTATCCAAACAGTCTCTCTGAGGTTGAGAATTTAGCTTGGTAATTACCATCATGAGGATACATTAAGGTTGCTTCACTGATAAGGATGTTGAATAGAGGCTTTCAGCTGGACAAATTCTCTCCTGGAGTGCTATAGTGTTGGAGCTGTGGTGGAACAATTTAAAGCCCCCCTGAGACCGGATCGATGAGGTGGCCTGTTTGTGTCCTTTTGCATCATATCTGACAAGTGATCCGTATCCAAGGATGGATTGTTATTGTGTGACCGTAGCAGGAAAGTAATTTGTTGTGATGGCAAAATCATTCCATTACAAATGAACAAAAGTGCCTTAAATGCTATCTGACATTGTGGTGCCACCTACCATAACGCTTCTCAGAATTAACATATTTTGTTTGATTGATAGGGTGAAATCAGAGATCCTACAAAATGAATAAACAGAAATATCAGTTTACAAATTACTAGCTGAAACAATTTTAGACATAAGTCAATGGACTGGTTTTAAATTGTGGCTTTTTATTGCAGGAGGTGACAGCTAAGGTCAGCTAACAGCTTGCAAAAGATCTTTGTTCACAACTTTGCTATTGTCTTTTCAAGTGTATCCTATTTAAGGGGGTCTCCACAGTCAATCAACTGTGACAAATTAGCCAATACAAMAATGTCTACAATTCACTCAGTTTTACAGATACTGGGGCCAAAATCTGTTGTGACATTAGGTGAGTTATCCCTAAAACATTTGAGTTCTACCAAATCACACAAGATCATTGCCTAAAATGTTGGTACAAAATAACGTAAGATATGTGTTTTTCTATGAGAAATGTTTTTTTTTTTTTCATTTTCCATGTAATGGGGGCTTTGGCTGTACTAATAGAATGTTTAGATTTTGCTTTCTTCATTTTTGTGCTTTTTTTCCCGCATTTTTGTTTTTTAATTGTCGTTTGGTTCTGTTCTTAACATGTCAGTGTTGTGTATTTTTTTTAATTCCTCAGTGTTTCTGGTTACTGTACTGTATTACGTACATTATTTTTAGAAAAAAAATGTGTGCATATACATATACATTTTTTTATATCTAAGAAAGAAAAAAAATCTGACAGGTGCAGTCAAGGACCAAATCTCTAGACTGATACAATGAATTACCGGCAGGTGAATAATTGTATGGTTTTTGTGTTGCTTTTCACAGATTAGATCACCTGCTGCCCACGCTGGATTTTTCCATCTACATCACAGGCAGTAGCTCTGGACTTAACTTTGCACTTCTGTGTCTGGAATGAAAATTTTATTGCACATTATGCAGCCTAATGAGGTAAGAGATTAAGATGTTGCCCTTGCATTGCTCTGGCAGTATTAGTGCATTGGATTCAAAATGACCCTGCACAGCTACTTCTCTCAATATTGTTTGGGGGTGAGAGTGATGGAATGGTCGGTGATTACTCCACTACTATTTAATCTTGGTGTAATTTGAGCTATAGAATCTGGAGTTAGTTGATATGGATTACTCATGACCTTTTAGGTAGACGAGACAGCTGTCCTATTGTTAAAAGCCATAGGTTATTAAAAGCTGCAGTCATGTCATTAAAAAACTCTTCCTTTTGACATTTTTGAAGAAAATGTTTCTAATTTTATTTTAATAAATAAAGTTTCAGCCTTATTAGCACTGCCTCCACATGGTGGACAAACAGGTTGTTCACAAATAAAAAGGTTTAGAGCAATGATCATGAACAAATTTTATAAACATGTTTTATTAAAAAACTTCAATCACCAATCAGCATTAACATTGTGACATTTACCTATTATTAAGTAGGTCCCTGTTGTGAGAAAATCTTTGACAATGCATGCAACACTTCATTTAGCCCCTTTGGATTCTAGAGTAGAGGTTCTTTGAATTTGACTTACTTCTCACAGACGCCATTGGATTGATACCTTGTGAATTTATATGCTGGATGAATGCCTGAAAATGTGTGCCATGTTCTGTAAATCATCAGTATTTGGCTTCCATGGTGCCCGCTGCTGTCACACTCTGCTTTGGAGGTTGTTRGGTGGGTGTGGTAGGGGTCGTCAGGTGGCATAAATCAAAGCAAGTTCATGTTATATTCATATGAATGTAAGATTGTTGCCAGTAGAGCAATACATTTGCATATGATGAGTTGCAATTCAGATTTTCACCAATTTTATTATATATCTGTGCAAGTGATTAAAAAAAGTTACTTTTGTTTCTTTTTTTTTCCCTCCCAAATCCCAAGATTGTACAGTATGTACAATAATGCATGTGCAAACAACTGTGTATRAAGCACATGTTCCATGGCAACATTGTCTACTTTTGGTGTAGAAACAATGTTGAGAATTGCCTCCTGAGAAAACACACTTTGTGGGATTTGAAACCAGACCTGCATACAGATCAAGATGCTTCCTTGTGGGTGAGTGTTTTGCTTTCCAATGATCATAGAGCTTTATTCCTATGAAAATGTGTTCTTTAAAAATATTAATTTTTAATAGTATTATTACTATTATTACTACTACTGTTGTTGCGTTATGGTGTGGGGACGTGTATTTCCTCTATTTTTACAGGAAAATCTCTTGAGATCCACTGTCTCATTTACAAGTAAGACCTGTTATATATAAGTGCATGACTTGCTGAGCCCTCATTGTCAGAGAACTTGTACTTTTGGGAACAAGTTAAAAATGCTGAAAATTATGTCACACAGGTTTTGTAGTCAAGCATGTAGTAGAGTGGACATGAAAATTTAAATCACTTTAGGTCCCTTACTCCTTTNGCCTTATTAGCACTGCCTCCACATGGTGGACAAACAGGTTGTTCACAAATAAAAAGGTTTAGAGCAATAATCATGAACAAATTTTATAATCATTTATTATTAAAAAATGAGAAAAAAGTTACCAATCAGCATTAACATTGTGACATTCAGCTGTTATTTAATAGGTCCTGTTGTGAAAACATCTTTGACCATGTGTATACAACACTTTAGCTCCCTTGGGATTCTAGAGTAGTTTTTTTTTTTTTTTTTTGATTCTAGAGTAGTTTTTTTTTTTTTTTAATTTGACTTGTTTCTCTCATATGCCATCAAACTGATACCTTGTGATATGCCAGATGAATGCCTGACAATTTGTGTCGTGTTCTGTAAAGCATCAGTATTTGGCCATTTGGACCATCAGCCTAACAACAGATCAGCTTATGGTCCCCTTTTGCATGTAACCAACCTGTTTATCCACCATGTGGAGGCAGTGCTTTTAAGGCTGAGTTTACCTGAAACTCCTTAGCCTTTTGGAGTAGAGATGAAACGTTTCATTAAAGAAGAACCCATCCACAGGACCAACTTAATTTTTCAGGGTGGGATTTTTCTACCTGAATTACTGAGATGCATCAGGAATGTGTCCTAAATTAAAACCCTTTTTTATTTGTCTCCCTTTACCATAAAGGGAAAAAAGAACAGAAAAAAGTGGCCAATGTGATTTAGTGKGCAATGCTGAGACATAGGAGACTGGGAAGATGAGAACTATCCTTACATACTGTAGGAACAACAGTATTTGTGGCACAAAATAGCATGCTCTTAACTTTATGTTGGGGATTGAATTAATTTAATCCAGTTCCTAACAATATTATAAAAATGTGTGCAATTTCTCTGAAACAGCTATGYTTTTTTTWTYTWTTTTTCTTTCCTATTTTGCAGTAAGATTTTTGTGACATTTAAAAACCTTGAAACTTGGTAGCTCAGTCAGATTTCCATTTTAGATTGATCTTTGCAAACATTCCTGCAGCACATGACCACAAATAATGTCATTCTCACAGATTATTGAGCACACATTAGTATTAGTAATTTAAAGCTCCTGAGTACTATGGTATGGCTCCCTGAAATGACCTTGGCGTACAGTAGACTCCATTTAGTCACATGCACCCACAGTACACAGTGACCATGTGTTATCTGCTTGTTTTCATACTGAGTTGAAGCTTTTTCCTTGTTGCTTCAAAACATGACATTTAACGTGTCAGAATGACTTGCAAAGAGATGGCTTTGGTGCTCATTAGGAGACAGTATAGACAATCAACCTGACATGTTTGCTTGGCCAGAAACATCATTAGTGTGAACGAAGGGAATGAATGAAAGTGTTACTGGACTAATATGCAAAACATCCTTGGTTTGAGATTCACTGGACACAATTTTAATTAACTCTCAGTCACCTTGTAATTCCTGACTCTTTTCACTGAGGTCTTATGTCTGAATGTTTAAAATTTAAAAGTGAAAAATACACACACACACACACACACACACACACACACACACACACACACAC